GGTAGGACGCTTGGTGAAGATATGGGAATGTCTGTTTCAATTGGAAGAGTGGCTGGCATGACTGGTTCTTCAGTTGTCATTTCATCTTTCATAACTGCACAGGCCCTAGCCAGTAGTTGACTTACATTCATCTCATCCATTAGTGAAGACACTCACAGTGTTTGTTTCACATGGTTTGACAGTCCTGCCATAAAAGTACATGTCAGACTTTGTTCAAATATTCCTTCAAAGAGTGAAGCAAGCTTTTGTAAGTCTGCAAGATATACTTTGACAGACCCTCCAGAGCATAGATGACAAGCCATAAAATGTTCATCAGACATGGATTTGTCTGTTGAAAAAGGAATTAATAATGCTTTCTTCTTTACTAAGTTTGTTGATACATGGCAAAGACCCCACTATTCAGACACAGTGGCAGAATGTGTTCCAGTCTTTTTATTCCACACCTTCTGTAAACAAGCTGTGCTTTTTCAAGCCATTCAAGTACAGGTGAGCTCATAGTTGTACCATCAAATTCAGGAATCAGTTTCAGGTCAAACAACTTTTCTACTATATCTTAAAAGTTGAAAGAACTTGTATAATAAATGTTCGCAAAGTCCAAATCTCGCAAGATCTTTTCTTATCAGTTTGTTGAGATCTTTATGGTTTTCTATTCATGGAGCATAAAAATGGATTAGCATATTTTTTTACATAATCCATTCCACCCTTGAACCATAATTGGTTCACAGAAGCTCATTTACATGAACTGTCTCACCTCATTCAGTGGAGAGACATTTTTCTTTCTTTCTTCTTTTTTTTCTGCAAAAACAGCATGCAACATGGAAATCATTTATGTCTTCACAGTATTCCACCATATTCTTCTGTACAATTTTCTGTGCTGAGAACCATTGTACATATATGCACACACTGATAGAATGATACTAGTTAAATCATCATCAAATTAATATCAATCTACAGGGCTGGAAAGCAAAACTTCCAGTAAAACTTAAATTAAACTTACCCACCAACCAACACATCAAATGATGTAAAGCCAAATATAGAACAAAGAGTGTTCTCTCATCTATGAATAAATACCTATTTTACAAGAATATCATGGAAAATGGCTTCATACAATGATAATCAACAAAGCGTCAAACTTGCATCATGCACAAATTGACCCTGAAAGCATCCTCTACATAGTTGGTGCGTTCTTGTACATATTCTACAAAATTGAGAAAATCCTAGACATGGACAATGTCATTCAGAGTCAAATGGGAAATGGCCAAGTCAACAATAAGTAGAATTGGGATTTTATTAATGCCCTCAAGAATAAAATTGCAAGAAAGTTCTCAGTGCTTAAGTTCTTAAGACTCAGTTCTACCATTAAAATATTTTCTGATGAGAAAATCTTTGTAAATCTCAACAAAAGTGATAACTTTAACAATACTAAATACTGTGAGGATTTCAAAAGATGTCAGCATGTTGCAAAAAAACTCTAGTTTGAAAACAGGACAAAATGAAACTTATTCATGGTTTATCTAGATGAAAAATGTGTAAAAAGCTAAACTGATCTGTATAGTAATTTTATTGATTAATATCAATCAAAACCCAAATTAATCAGAAAAAGAAATTGAAGAATAATTAATAGAACAATTATATAGATAAAATTAGAATCAAATACGGATTGGAATCTGACAGAATGATAGGATAAAGAACAAATAAGAAATGTTTATCAATCTAACATGTTTAACTTTTATTAAAGCTTCATCAGAGAATGAAATATAGAGAAAAAGAAATCTTGGTATTTTTATTTTTGTGTTTGATTTTCAGCAGGCTTCATGTGCATTTGACTTAATTAATATAATTTATGGCATTCTGGACTCAAAGAGAGACAATGCATACTTTCAAAGCTTCAAAAACTTAACAGCATTGTTTCTGTCCAAGTAAACTGACATCTGACAGTACAAAGAAGACTTCAAAAGTAACAAGTATTGACTTCTCTTGAATATGAACAAAATTTGTTATAGTGATATTATCTGTGTTGAGTACAAAATAATAATAACTCCTTTTAATCACTCTCTTCAAATTCAGCTGAGCTGAGGAAAAAGACAGAAAAAAAATTTATGAGCCTATGTGAAATTTTCATTGGTCCAAAGAAAATTTCATGTAGGCTTGCAATTTTTTCTTCATCTTTTTCTTAGCTCACTAGCCGATTTCTATAAAGTCAGTTTTCATTGGTCCAAAGAAAATTTCACATAGTCTCGCAAATTTCTTGAAGTTGCATGATAAAGGTTTCTGCTTGACGGATGCCATGTTTTTTGACACCTGATCCAAAAGCACACCAGGCTCATCACATCTAAGGGAAAATTTGACATTAACTTAAGATGAGTGTTTAGGTTTATCACTTTGAGCCAGAGACAATCCATGCACCTGTTCCAAAGAAGGCTAAGGTCGTTTCATCTGCAGGGAAGATGATGACCTCAGTTTTTGGGATGCAAAAGGCTTTGTGTTTATTGACTCTTTTTAAAAGGGCCACACTATCAATTGTGAGTACTATGCTAAATTGCCAAGGCAGTTGCAAACCAAATGCCTATGAAAACTGATGAAAAGGGTCTTGTTTCATTAGAACAATGCTCCTTGGTCTCAATGACTGCTGTGTGTGACTGTGGCTTTAAACTGGTTGATCACCTATCCTATTCACCTGATTTGGCCCCATCTGATTATCATCTGTTCCCCAACATGAACAAAACACTTGTCTGGGAACCAGTATCACACTAATGATGATATATCTGTTGTTGATGACACTTTTGACCAACAGTGTTTTCCTTTTCACGTCTGCTATCAGCACTGTATCATCTGCATATCTTATATTGTTAAGGTTGTGGCTGCCAATAGTTAATCCTAAGCAACTCAAAAGTAACAAAAACCAAAAAAGTGGAAAATTAAGCAAAAAGACTTACTAATTTCATTATTTTATAATGTATTCAAGAATTTTATCAAATCTATTAGTTCATTTACATTAATATATATATATATATATATATATATATAAGTAGCCCCAAGCATAAATAATTAAACAACCATTTAAGCAACTTAAGAGTACTTTTGCAGAAAATAAGCAACCTGTGTACTAGCCAAAATCCTAAGTTGCCTACTAAAAAAGTCATGTATTTGTTTAATAAATCTTATCTGTGTTAATTTGCAATGCATTCTATCTATGCTATTAGTATATCATGTCACTCTATATATAAACATTAAAGTCAATGAAAGTTTTGATATATTTGTTTAAGTCCTTTTCTTGATATAATGGATTAAATAAACACAAGCATTGAAATTATTTGAAATGCTTTGTCATAGTAAAATAATATTCAATGGATATCTATGCTTTTATTATTTGCTACCTTACTATATATGCAATCATAAAAATAAATGAAAGTTTTATTAATATATTTGATTAGTAAATCGTGACCATTATATCATGAGTTACATAATAAAAAAAAGTGCACATTTTCATAGGGGACTCAAACATTTTGCTTACAATGTGAATATTGATTGCATCCTTTATCACCTTTTATAAAGAACCTTTTGCAATCCAAATGTCAAACCCAAGGGTAATTTTTTAAATATATAGATATTTGTATTTGATTTTTTTTTTACAATCTAATAAAATAGTATCAGAGATATATATATATATATATATATATATATATATAGCTATTCTTTATAATTGGATCCATGAAAAATTATGCATGCATGCACACACACACACACACACACACACACATATATATATATATATATATATAAGATCATAGTCAGCAGAGGAACAAAAGTAGTGAAAGAAAGAACAAAGGAGAGTGTGCTGAAAAGCTCAGCCTACTTCCCAAAATATAACCAAGATTTTTTTTTAATTTTTTTAATTTATTTTTAATTTATTTTTATTTATTTATTTGTTGTGAAGGAGCTTCTTGATCAGGTCAGAATTTTCCAGTGCTCATATAAGTAGCACATAATGATCTGATGAATTTGATTACAAGTTTTATATTGATTTTTATGAATATCATACACATTCTTGTGCTGAGATTTGGTTGCTGAATATATATGAGATTTTTTTATAATTTTGAATTGTTTCTATTATATTATTATTATTGTAAATATCTCTTTTTACCTGCATAATCACATGCCAGGTCATAATCTATTATTATTATTAGTAGTAATATTATGAATATTGTGACAATGGTAATTGCACTAATAGTGGTGGAAAGATTTCTTGTGAGGACATAGTGATAGTGATAACGATTATTACTTTTGATAAGAAAACGATGGGGGTTACAATTACGGTTACATTTAAATTGCTGGTGCTGATGGTGTTGATGATAATGGTTGTGGTAGTCATTGATGTTAATGATTATGATTATGATGTCATTGCAAAATGGAGACAATGATTATATCTTGAAGGTAGAGTAGAATGAAGGTGATGAAGCGATACAGGTGAGATGCTGCCGGAACAATTAAAGGAAAACAAGGAAAGAAAAGTGGTCTTTAAAAAAAGAAATCACTCAAAACTAAAAGACAAGTCACAACACAGAAGAAGAATGGGGCAGTTAGATGGAGACATGATATTTTTACACTTGCTGTATAAAATCTTCTCTGATAATAGAACCTGCAATAAAAGACATTTAATAACAACAACGTTACGACTAGTAAACTAAGTAGTAGTAGCATCTCTTGTGTGTTCACAGTATAAAATGCGTTCATTATAGCTTCAACTTCTCTCTCTCTCTCACACACACTCACACACACACACATACACACACACACACATCTGTTTGACTTTGAGACAAGTCGTTTGCATTAGATGTTGCCAAACGAACATTAGAAAAATACCTAAAAATAAATCAATTCTCTATTCTCGTGCAGAGATGAAACATGATTTTTTTTTTAAATTTTTACCTAAGATTATTCGGTGCGCGTGTACTATAAATTAAGTATGACATATGAAGAAATACGTTTATTTTTCTTACCTGTAATCAGTTCTTTGGCTTCATCCCATTCCTTGAGGTCAATCTTGGCTTGGGATCGAGACAAAAACCATTCTACACACCCCAGACAACAAAACATGTTGCGCTCTGGCATTTCGCGACGGAATTTAAGGGGAGATAATGTCTAAGTTAATTTTCAAGAGTTGCTTACCTTAAGTATTTTCTGCTTTTTTTTTTTAAATTACGCTTTTATAAGAAAAATTCAGTAAACAAAATACATGCTGTTTCGCGTGAAGCTACCTGTTGTTAAACTGGTTCATTTCGTCATCAGCTGATGAGAAACACTGCCTTTTTGTTCAACTAATCAAAAAGCAAACCATTCACATCTACTGTTTTTTTTGTTTCAATAGGGTTGTGTTTAGCGACTTCGCTGTTGAACTGCTTCGTAACTGGGTTATAGCAGTGACTAGTGAGTGAGTGACTGCTTGAGTCAAGAAAAATACACTGACGCTAAATAAAATTACAACACTTTGAAATGTGTTTCAATTTATTCACGATTAAATATACAGACAAAATCAGTGCATGCACAGGTTAAATAAAAAAGTGTCTCAACTCTCAAGTGAGACACGTTGGAGTAATGGATAGCGTCTCGGATTGAGGAATCGGAGAGCCGAGTTCGAATTCCAGTCCATTACGTTTACTGCTACTCTTGGGAAATGTATGAACCCACTTCTTCTCTCCTAGCTATGGTAAATATGGGTTTTATAGCCTTGGGTGTCATCTGGTCTCGGAGAAGGAGACTCTGAATTCAAACAAGCCTGACGAGTCACAGGATTTGCGCAATCACGCACATAACTCTCAACAGTATGCTGGCCCCATTGAAGGGAATCAAAAGTTATATGGAGACCAGATTAGAGATTAACTGTGCCATAGAATATTTCAATATTCTGAAAAAAATTGAATTCAATATATTTAATTTTTTTTTTTTTTTACAATGATATTCATAATGATGTACAAAGCCCAAGAGCTACTTGAGGTAGAGGGTTACAGAATAAGAAGCACAGTTTATGGAGATATGTGGAGAAGAGAGCAGTTAAACCCAGACCTGAACAGGTTAAGATTGCAGTGATTGGGGAAGCATCATCTTGGGAGTTGGCTCCACAAAGCAACAGAAGAAACTGCTCAAGTGGAACTTACATCTCATCAATAGAATACGAAAGGAATGAGGGTTGTTTGCTATGAGGTGTATGGTATGGCTGGTGTGAAGTGGTGGGACTAAGAAATGTAGTTTGCCTTAACATTTTCCATGGGAATAGTGATAAAGCAGTGAAAGTCTTGCAACATTTCATCTTTGAGGAAAGGAGTTGTAGGGTGGGAAACAAGTCATCACCAACAAGGACATGAAAACACTTTTGGACTCTATTGTGACTGGAAAGTGAAGACTGGGCAGTAGTACTCTATTTTTGGCCTGATCTGGCTCTTGTAAAAGTAGAAGATACCAGGAGGAGTCAGGTACTTACTGGAGTGGTACATTTTACAGTATCTTTAGTGATGGAGTGTGTGTACAAGTTCCACTTAAGTCCTAGTAGATGTTCAAGGCACAGGATCTCCTTGAGAGAACACCCATTTATCACAATAGGTGAAAATTCAGGGTCTGCTCAGTGATGATAGAGCATCACTAGTTTGGTTTTCAAGGCACTGAATGTGACCAGTTAGTTTCTCTCCCACTGAGCTGTTAAAGCTTGAACAGAGGAGAAATCAGCTGCCAATCTGTTTTTGGAGTTGCACCCATATACTGTTGTATCATCAGTATATTCCCAAATGATCATTTATGTAAAGTAGAAAGAGAGTTGGACTGAGAAGTGAGCCCTGGGGAAAACAGACCTAGGTGCAACATAGATCAGAAAAGGAAAAAAAATCCATTCTTCAACAGACTATTGACCTTCTACTGTTGTCAGACATCTTGCATGGCATGTTGAGTAGCATGGGTATTATCCTGTTGGAACAGCACACTCTCTTTTTGGTGCAAGAATATCTGCAGAACAAGTTCAACAGTTTTCTGGACATACTCCTTCCACATACACCAAAGATAATGCTGATTGGGTTTGTGTATTGTGGGTGAATACAAATCTAGATGTTGTTCTCCAGGAATGCACTGCACATGCAAGCAACTTGCATGAAAGTAGAAGCTACTCTCATCACTAACTTCAGGGCATTATTTGATCTGTTAGGTGACTTTCTCACAATGGTGCTGTAGAGTCGGAGAAACTCTAGTGAGAAGGATGCATGTTCAGTTTTCTTTCAAATTATCTTTTGGGATCACTATCAACCCCCATGTTTCATTCTCCTTAATGTCACTCATGGTGTTTCAAAGATGATTTTAGCTTTAGGAAAAGCTAGTAGTTGCAGGGAGCCAAATTTTGATGGAGGCAAAGGAGATGATGTTACCAAAAGACTTTACATGAGACATGAAGAAATATTCTTGATCTGTCTGTCATTGTGAATGCAACAGTCACACAGTATACAAGCTCACTCAGGATAATCTCACTGCTAACTGAGTAACTCCATGGGAGAGTGTCTGCTCATCTGACAGTTTACCAAGTTAAATCAAGGCTATACATCCAATTCTCCAGATATTCAAAATAGCTGGATACATTGTGGACAGATCTCATCTACATAGTTTAAATAATTATCAACTTTTATGAAATCTCTTCTGTTACACTTTTAATAAAATATCTTTGTTGTAAATTCATATATTGTTCCAAATAAGTGAAAAATGACCTGCCAAGCAGCTAATATTTATTTCCAAAAATCAATAGAGTTTGGCAGTGATTCTTAAAAGAAACATTGTTTTGTCATTTGGCCAGAATATAAGAAAAAGAAGGAAAGATTCGCATCTTGAAAGTAGCACTTGCAGATATACATTTATAAAATTTTTTGTTTGGGTTTTTCCCAAAAAATTTAAAAAAATTTTAAAAAATTTAAAAACTTTAAAATGGGGGGCAATCAACTTTTTTAAAAATAAAAAAAAAATTTACTTTTTTTTTTTTGGAATTTTTATTTTAAAATTTTTTTTTTAAAATTAGAACTTAAAACCCTTTACAAGAAAATTTTTTAAAATAAAACCCAATTTGGGGAAATAAAATTGGGTTTTTTTAGTTTACAGTAAAAATAAAAAATAAAAACTAAAATTTAAAATTGCGGTCCCTAATTAAAAAAAAACAAATTCCATGGTTTTATTTAAAAACCGGAAAATTTTATCAGGGGAAAAAATAAATCAAACATACACAATCCTAATAAAAAAAAAAAAACGGAAACTACTTTTAAATACATTTTTTGTTTCCCAATTTCTTTATTTTATTCAAAAATAAAAAACTAAAATTTAAAAAATTTTATTATTATTACAGAGGCTTAAAGAATA